AGACTGTCATAGGGATCCACTCTCCCACTCCCCCTTAAGCACCAGTAGGATTCAGGGTTTTGGGTCAAGCGCTCAACACCATCGTTACTTACCAAGACCTGCTTTTTAGTAGGGCGGCCCTTGCTATAAATCTTGATCTCGAATTTCTAGGGATCCCAACAATACAAGTCATTAGGTTCTGGTGGCCCTAAACCCCTAAACCCCTAAACCCCTAAATCCCAAACCCTAAACCCCTAAACCCCTAAACCCCTAGATCCCAAACCCTAAACCCCTGAATCCCAAACCCTAGACCCCTAAGCCTTAAAACCCTCAACCCAAGGGTTCAGGCTTTGTTGGGGTTTTGAACCTGAGGATGGATGCATCAAGGACTCAAGGGGGACAGGATGTTGGAAGGTCCAAGAGCCAACAAATCAAGGGTTTATACTTGAAAGGGCTTGGGGTTTAGGGTTTTAGGGTTTTAGGGTTTTAGAGTTTAGGGTTTGGGTCTTAGGGTTTAGGGTTTAGGGTTTTTACCTGGGCATCCAAAACCCTACCCGTTTATGGGTTAGACACTAGAACTAAGGGATCATAACCTACTATTTCGTAGGGTTTGGGGATACAGGTAGAGTTTAGGGAATGTAGGAGTCTAGGGGTTTAGGCTTCGGGTTTACGGGCTTCGAGGCAACTTCCGAGGGTTTAGGGTTTGGGGCAGCAGGCTTTGAACCTACCTGTAGTCTCCATTGTAAGGGTTTAGGGTTTAGGGTTTAGGGTTTAGGGATTGTAGTTCCTTTTTTTGGTTTAACCAATTCTATATTAAGGGTCCTAAAAGGTAACCGCAAAAAGGAACTACAATGGAGACTATAGGTAGACTCGGAAACACAGGCACCGAACACTGCCAAACGGTGCAGGCTGGGTCGCCGTTACGTCGCCCTGTTCACACGCACTGATGCCGGCGCTGTAGCCTTAGATTTCTCCGTGCTGATCTTCGTCCTAGGGATATGGACATGACACTTCGCATTTGGTTCGGGATCGGGGCTTCTTTAAGCGGTTTGGGAGTTACGGCTCATAGGGTCTAGTGTCTAGTTACGCCAACCGAGCGAACAGTGCAGAAGCCAGAATCAACGGGCACACGGCCGGGCGTATTAAGCGCATATATGGAACCGACACATCAGCACTACACCCGCCACACCCGGCAATTGCCGTAGACATCGGGCATCAAACCGTGAGTGAAAAACCTAGACGACCCCACAAAACCCTATGTAACCCTCATAGGGCCAAGCCCCAAGCCATACACCACAAACCCCCTCAAATAACCCCTTAAGGGGACGGTGGAATGAACTCTCCAACATAACAGCACTGCCTCCCAGCAGCTCACGACGTCTGCAGGGATCGTGGTTTCCCGCATCTTTGACAGCAGGAAGCCCGCTTGAAGCCACTGCGAGCCTGGTGTTGCTTATCATTGATCGTGAACTCGCACTAACCGTACTTTTGTATAGAGTACGTATAAATTCTACATCGTAGATTGTATAATCACAACCTACACAGCAGTCAGTTAGAGTGTTGACGAGCCTACAAGGGTATCACGCTGGGGTTTAGGTTTGGGGTTTAGGGTGTAGGGGTTGAGGGTTTAAAGTTTAATCATACCTCTGACCCGACTTTGGACCATCTCATGAATAAGCAGTAGGGCTGGATGGGTTTAACATGACGGGGTACTTGCCCATGGTCATAGCATGGAGAAGCGGGTCAGCAGTAACCGACTCTGTATTGGGCATTCCCCATGCCGTAGATACCTCTATTACTAGTACTTAAAATATTACCCAACTGACTATGTAGCTTCTAGGTATCAGCTTGTGTTGCCGGAGATATTGATGTTGCACGTCATTTGCCCGCACATGGCGATGAACTGACATTGACAAATGCTCATTAGCACCTCACCGAAGGGAAACCGCACAATCTGCACTCCCTACCCCGAAACCCTAAACCCGTAAACCCTAAACTAGTAACTCTAAGGGTCCATGCACAGCATATGCCTTCCCCGCCCCGCCCCGCCCCACCCCACCCCGCCCCGCCTCGCCCCGCCCAAAAGCTAACCATATAGGGACTATCTGAAGTTCAAAGGTTGGGCACCTGGACCCTTATGCCCTCAACCGTTCTAATACTCTTCAGGGAGCCCTTAAGGGAACCCCTAAACGAACCTTTGTAGATCCTTATGGACCTCTCAGGGTGACCCTAAACCCTATACCCTAAACCTAAACTCTTAGGGTGACCCTATACCCTACACCCTAAACCCTAAACTCTTGGGGTGAACCTAAACCCTAAACCCTAAACTCTTCAGGTGACCCTGTACCCTAAATCCTAAACGCGAGGGCTCAGGCAGATTCTCAGGTTTCACATCATTTCAGGACTGAACTTTCAGGTCTGGGGGCTGTTTTTTGTTAGGGTTTCTCTAAGTGTTCCTCTAAGGGAGCCCTTAGAGGAACCCCTTAAGGGAGCCCTTAAAGGGGGCCCGGGGGCCTTAAAGGAACCCTTAAGGGAGCCCTGAAAGGGGGCCCTTTTGTAGGGTTTGGGGTTTAGGGGTTCGGGGGTTTTTGAAGCTGAAGCCTAACTTTTAAAGGGTTGGGACTGTTTCGGCCAGCCCATGGCTGGGATGGTATATTAAGAGTTCGAATCCTTCTTCCTTATGGGGTGTTGAGTACCTATAAAACATGTAAAATGTCAAAACTATGGCGAAGTCGGTGTTGAGTTTGGCCTAAACCCTCAACCCCCAAACCCTAAAGCCTAAACCCGTTTTTTTCGGGTCTGGGCGGCGCAGGCCTCTGGCCAGTGCCGAGAGGGCAGAATTGCAGGTGATCGCATTGGCGAGGCGGTCGTGAAAAATCGTGCGGAGGATGTCGACGGCAGCCTATTAACAGGGCTTCAGGCTTTCGTTGAGGGTTTAGGGTTCAGGGTTTGCAACTTTCGGGTTTTTGGGCTTTGAGGTTTAGGTTTTTTGGGTTTGGGGTTTAGGGCTCAGGGTTTGCAACTTTCGGGTTTTTGGGCTTTAGGTTTAGGTTTTTGGGTTTGGGGTTTGGGGTTTAGGGTTTAGGGTTGAGGGGTTAGGCACCCTAAACCCTAAACCCTAAACCGTAGGGTTGGGCCGGGCTTGGGTCATTGAGGAGCTAAGGATTCAAGGCTTGGGGCATGGAGCTAGTTCCTACGGGTTTGGGGGTTCCCTTGCAAGGGTTCCTGAAAGGGTTCTATAAGGGCTACTGGTTTGGTTTAGGGCTTAGGGGCCTTGATGATATAAATCTTGCATTACCCACAATAAGGAATATACCATAATTCCCATAGTCCAGGGTCCTTAAGGTAATGCAGGATTTATATCATCAACAGTAGGTTTCCCCAAGACGACACCCCTGATATAAAATCAACCAGCAAACCCACCAATACTCCCATCATAGACCGCACTTCAGAGATTCTACCGACCAAACAGTGGTCACTATAAGGAAGTGTATTGCCAATGGCCCCTCCTTTGGAAGGACATTTTGAGGGTGAACCGGCAGGAGATGTGAATGCAACCTCCCAGACTGACTTAACATTAAACTCGAGGTAATATAGGGCAGTAAAGCGTCTCTATGGGGGTTACTATAAGGAATACGATGAGGGTTCCATAATCATAGTGTTCGGGTTTGAGGGTTAATCATTCGAATCGGGTTGTTAGGTATATTGCGTCTGTGCAAGGACTACAAAACGAGCACCGGTGCCTTTTATTCAGACCTCAGATCTCTAGCCATAGTATCCCCTCATATTTATTCCCCAATGTACTTCTACAAGTAGTACAGGAGGCCCAAAAACCCGAATCTCAGCATCCAGGCCCCTATTCTTCTTTTGATCAATAGGCTCGAAGTAACAAATGAGAGTTTAGAGGACTAATATAGGGGCCTTAAT